GGAAACGAACATGAAACAATGCAGAGGCACTGCATGCACGGAAGATGGCTTCGAAATGATAGTCACAAGATACAGAAAGGGCATGTAGGAATCCACAAAAGCTCGAAGTTTAGCATGTCGACAATTTAGAATCTACCCAAATAACAGCCACCGGCTTGCGCCCGTGTATGCCGAGTACATCGGGCCTTGGATGGGCGGCTAAGTTAACAAGTCGAGAAACAGCAGTGGCTTTCTGTATGGGTGCTCCAGAGAAAACAGACAACCCCTGCTTGTTCGTCGATTGTGCTCCAACCTGGATATTTTTGGAGATGCCGGGGCACGAAAATGCTGGAATTGGTGCTCGCATTCGGAGACAGAGTTTTGTCCGCAGCATGCTTGAATCGCACTCGCAGCTGCTGTATCTTGTTTGCAAAGCCCTAAACCCTAAACCCTCGCCGGCTTTACGGGTTTAGGGTTTAAGGGTTTTAAGGTTTAAGGGTTTAGGGCTTAAGGTCTAGAGGCTTAGAGCTTAGGGGTTTAGGAGGTCTTCTTCAAATATGACCTCTGGCGGTTCAGTCTCAGCACAATCCAGTATAATATGAAAATAACACGATACAAGATAAAAACGACAAAGTTGTAGGTGGGAAACTGATAGCACTTCCTGGCCTTAGCCTCAGGCTTCCCTCTGGCCACCAGCCTGGCACGCGAGGGCTCAGAGTTTAGGGCCCGAGGACATGATAAGGGTCTGCCTCAATAGCACCTCCTTATCCCCAAACCCCCAACCCGAAATGGGAGTTTCGGAAAATGGGGGAACCTAATATAGTACTCTAAATAGAAGGATCCTTATTACAAGGACCCCAAAATAAGGTACCACTTTTTTCGTGAACTCCCAAATCCCTAAACTCTTAAACCCCAAACCTAGATCTCCGACCCCCAAACCCTTTACCTTTAATTCTGGCCTAGCCTTCAGTAGCAGGTCTAGCACTTCTTGCTGTCCGTTGTGGGCTGCGACATCGGCCAGAGTCTCTCCCTTGTAATTGGCGACATTGGGATTCTCCTGGCGAGCCCTTCTTGCAACGAAAATATTATTTATTATGGCATACTATACCATGTAATATGACAAACCCAAACCCAATCAAACATATCACACCACACTATGAGGTTATGTAGTAAATGATACAATATGGTGGAGTATGATATAATATGATATAGAGTGGCATAATGTTGTAAAGTAGAATACAGTACAATATAATCAAACACAGTGTTATGGTAAATAATATATCGTAATAATATACATTACATACGATAATATTATATAATATCCTATGTAATACCTCATCCAAGAGGACTTCGAAAAAGGGTTGGACGCATGGGGGAGTGTGAGGTTAAAGAGCGACCCGGCCTGATAGTTCAGGAAGCGCAGGGCATCCACATGGCCAAATCTTGCAGCATAGTGAAGTGGTGTATCTCCGTGGTAGTCCCTTGCGTCGAGAGGAGCACCGGCCTGGCACTCACGCAAGGCCCACGAAGAACCCTGACTCAAAATTGCGAAGGGCTCCCCGAAGTCTCAGACTCTATACGCACCCATACCAAGCCGGAAGCTGCGACTAGGACCGGCCGCTGAGGCTGAGCCTGAACGAGTGCTTCCAAGGTCTTCCAATGGTTTTCCAGAGCCGCCACATGAGCCTAAGCTCCCCGGTAGATATAAGGGGTTTAGGCTTTAGGGGTTTAGGGATGTTTAGGGTTTAGGGGTTAGGGGTTTAGGGATGCTTAGGGTTTAGGGTTGTTCCTACTATCTCGCTTTATTACAGGAGCCCACAAGGAAAAGGGCAAAAGGCTACTACTGGAGAACCGGAGCTGGCGTCCGACCTGCCCAGTCCGTTTTGGATAAAACAGCCTGGGGATCCAAAATTCGGATAAAACAGCCTTGGGATCCACAAACCTATTGCTTTAGGGGGGTTATACCCTATAAGTAAGGGGTCATAAGCTTTATTTCGTAGGGTTTGGGGATACAGGAACAGCCTGGGATAGGTGGGGAATCTCCGCCCAATCGTCGTGTAGTGCCGCGCTGTGCCCCTCCGTCCATCTATGGACGGTTAAGTTCACCCCGAGGGCGATGAGCTTCTCGATGGAGCCCGGCGTCGCTGGAGCCTGGCGCAAGGACGAACGCCAAGTGACCCCATGCGCCGGTTTGCGAGCAAATTCCACTTATTTTTCAGCGCAGGGAGACTGTGGCACCATCCCTGAAATGAGAAACAGGTCTGCCTCAATTCCACTCGGAGGGCATCGGGGACTTCGAATCCCTTTTTTGCAAACCCCTTAACCCCTAATCCCTGAGCCTTAACCCCAAGGAACCTACCTTTTTAAGGTCTTATATAGGAATCATATTAGGGAACCCTAAAAAAGGTAGGTTCCTCAGGGTCCAGGTAAGCCTTAACCCCAGAAGCCCCGGAGGGCCGGCTCGGGGGATGTGAGGTCACGGAGCACCCAAACATACTTGGAGGATCATGGGACTTAGTAAGCATCGTTATAAGTACCTTCATTGGGCTTTTTAGTAGTTATAAGTATAGTTACCTTAAGGTTAGATGTAGTTATAAGTATAGTTACCTTAATAGTTAACCCTGCTTACTAAGTCCCATGATCCTCCAAACATACCCAACTATACTCATAACTACTTAGAACCCCAATTAAGGTACTTATAATTAATAAAATAGTAACCCTAGTTACTAAGTCCCATGATCCTCCAAGCATACCCAACTATACTCATAACTACTTAGAACCCCAATTAAGGTACTTATAACCCTAGTTAGTAAGTCCCATGATCCTCCAAGCATACCCAACTATACTCATAACTACTTAGAACCCCAATTAAGGTACTTATAACCATACTTGCTAAGTCCCATGATCCTCCAAGCATAACCTAAGGCGCCTGGATCAGGAAGAGCTGCTCTGGGGTTTCTCCGCGCTTGTCAGCTTCCTTCATATCTGCTCCGGCCTCGCTCACTTGCATCTGAATGCAACTTAATGATTAGAATGGGGTTTGGGGGGGCATACTATACTGTAATTGTAAAAAGGAACCCCCAAAACCCTGTTGAAGTTGTCGAGTTTAGGGTTTCGGCGCTCACACTCGGACAATCCAGGCGAGGCATATGGTTCGGAGTCTGCAAAGTGAGACAACACTAAGAGGCTTCGTCACGAGGCCTACAACAGCAAAGTATACTAACACATAAAGTAACTGTGCTTGTCGACGCAGCCTCTCCCCGAAATCCCTGGATCTGGAAGCAACAAACAAACTGAGATTTCGGGGCAGGAAAGCGGACAGATCGATCAAGGGCGGGAGAGGGAGAATGAGGATCCATAGTCCAATGAGAATACTGAGCCGGGGCGACTCGGGCGTAACGATCTGTGTAGGAACATGCTCACTATGCTCCGTCGTCAGCATGTTACCGACTTGATGAATTACAAATGCGGGATCAAGTTACATCAACTGTGAAACCTTGGAATATGTGGAGCTACTTCTGGTCTACTTGCACGCACCATGTGGGGCCTCAACCAAGACTCGCTAGAGCTTATACAATGTGCCTAATCATGGGGGCCAACTGGGGTTTAGGGTTTAGGGACAAGCCTACTCTACAGAACCCGATAATTCGGTAATTCTTAAGACAAAGGCTACGACGTCCCTGGCTGCTCCGACGGTGGCCTGGCGGAGCAGTTCCAGAGCGGCCGCCCTCCCGTTCGCTGCTGCCACATGAGCCGGAGTCTGACCCTTCTTGTCCCTCACCTTGATGTTGGCGCGAGCCTCACAGGCGATGGTGTGGCCTTCCCTTATAAATATCATTCTCCATGTGCCATTGTAGTGGGTACTTAGGCCTTATAAAGGGATCCCCATACTTCAAGGACGAAGTGCCTACAGTCTGGGTACATGGAGCCTTTGGGCTTGGGGTGGCCGAGAGAGAAGCGAGCATTGGAGCCTCCAGGAGGAACCGAAGCACCGTTTCGCGGCCGGTCGAAGCCGCTAAGTGTGCCGGGGTTTGTCCGCCGAAATCTTGCGCCGCCAGGTCAGCGTTCGCCTCGAGCGCTCAGCGCGAAGCACGGGTATCAGGTTTGTTCAAGGCACCCCTAGGACCCTTGGGTTGATCATGTCACGAAACCCCTCGACAAACCAATAAACAATCTCAAGAGACATCCTGCTGGTGTGGCAGGATTTCAAGATCCTTGTTGGAGATCGTACGGCCGCGGAATGCAAGGTTCTTGAGTTGAGATTGTCATGAACTACGCTGTCGTCGAGGAACTACGGACTACGGAGTACGCTTCAATTGAACGGGTTGGCGTATGCAGACCACAGGACCAGATGGAAAGGAGGGCTTGGGGTTTCTTCATTACCTTTGATTGGTTCTTGAGGCTGTTGTCCAGCCAGAAGACGTCCGGGGTCCTGAATGTGTGCATTGAGGGCGTGCTCTCTTTGTCGAGCAAGGCTCCCCAGTCCCCCCAGAGAAGCTTTAGGGAATCACAACACCCTGTCCGACGTAAAGCCCCAAAACCTTACCCTACAGTGGAAGCCAGTGATGTCCTACCTCTCCCAACTCCTCCTTCCGTGATATGGTAGCGACCAAGTGGGACTTTTGCCGTTGTGCTCATGTCGTGGTAACACTAAACCATCCTCTAATCCAGAGTCTTACGTTGCGTAGAGTCAGCGGCGTCCCTGCATCCCACACAGCACCAGCTTTTCGAATTTAGGCCTGCGAGCTCATTAATTACTTGGGTTAGGGAAGGTGCTTCCAAACATTTTCGCCGGAAGGAGCCAGAATGACATGAGTAGTAAGTAGTGGTAAGCAGCAGCCAGTATAGTAGTAAACAGTAGTTAGTCTTAGTTGCGGAGTTCACAAGCCCCCAAAAGCGTACACTTTTAGTTTTGTAGTTGGTAAGATTACCCGAAAAAGTGTAAAGTGTATCCACTCAGCTACGAAGTAGTAGTGAGTTTTTCAGCCAGCAGGTAGCAGCTAAACCCTAAACCCAAGCTCAGGCTGCTCTGAGAGGTAAGGCCTCGCGCAGGACCTCTAGCACGGCCATATCCCCGTGTTCGGCTGCGAGGTGTGCCGGGGTGGTGTCCCAGTTATCCGGCGGATTGATGTCGACGCCCGCCTTTCGAGGCGAAAGCCACTAAAGGAGGGAGCTGCTCAAAGCCCTTTTGAAGCACGGATTTTGAGTGTATGCCGGCAGCCATGCCCAGGGGACATGTGCGGTTATTCATCACCAAACTTTCCACTTCTGAGTACAGCTTGAAATTTGCTCGCTTCAATCTTACAAACAGAAACCATTGAGCAGCCCTAAACCCTAAACCCCCGCCTAAACCCTAAAACCCCAGCCTCGTGGAGGAACCTTAGCACCGCCGCGTGGCCGTTCTGTGCGGCGTAGTGCGCCAGGCTTTGTTCTCGTCCGTTGCGAGCAGCCAAATTCGCTCCGGCCTCGTTAGTTTCAGACACTGTAGGGTTTAGGGGTTTAAGTAGGGTTTATATATATATATATATATATATATATAAGTATACATCTATAAATATATAAATGTACATATAAATAAACAAGCAAATAAATAAACAAATAAATAAATAAATGTATATATATATATATATATACATATATATATATATATATATATCTATATATATATATATATATATATATATATAGGGTTTGGGGCTTTAGGGGTTTAGGGTCGAGGAGCTTAGGGGTTTGGGGTTTTAAGGTTTCTCGAAGTTGTGTTGGGTTTGGGTTGCGGGGTTTTTGGCGGGTTTCGAGCCATGCCCTTTGCCCACCCCCCTCTGCCCCCTGCGCAGTGCAGGGGCCCCCTGGTCCTTAAGGCTCGCTTGCTGAGCTTTGTCGTCTTTTTGGCAGTTGTTGTGTTTTCCGGTATAGCGTTTTGTCATTTTGCCTGCCCTGCCTTTGCGCTGGCCCCCACCTACCCCCCTTGCCGGAGTTAATTGCCTGCCTTCATCACGCATCTAGGCGTTTAGGGTCTATAGCGTGACATCAGGGTTTAGGGCCAAGAGATTTTGGGCCGCGTTCAGGGGCAAAGGCACTGCTCCGACTCTATGTCTTGTAAGCCACACCAAACCGAAAGCAGCGACGGCGAGGCCTTGCGGAGCACCTGCAGCGCCGCAACATCCCCACATCGGGCTGCCAAATGGGCCGGGGTCTGAAACGACCGGTCCGTCGCATCGACTTCAATACCCGCCTCACACCACGGGTGCGGGGTCGGGGTGTAAAGTGGCCTTGGCGGCTCAGAGGAAAGCCCAAGCGGCTCAGACGAGCCTCGCAGAGGAACTTCAGTGCCGCTGCGTGTCCTTCCCATTGTGCGGCGAAATGCGCCGGGGTCCACAGCCGCCCCCGATCGTCCACGACGGCCCCCAAATCGGCCCCGGCCTCGCAAAATCGAAAGCAGGGCGGCCCCTGAGCCAGATGCAGCTAGATACAGGTGTTGGGGTGCTTAGGGTTTATGGGATATATACCTTAACTTATAGGCTTCCAGTTCTTCCAAAAATTCTGAGAGCATCTCTGCGCCTTGCGGTATGCCGCGAGCGCCGACACGTCACCCTGCTCGGCGGCCTCTCTCCTTGGCTGACTTCTGAACCCCTCCTAAAAACAGTTATAGACTTGTATCCTCCGTGTTATAGTTCATATCCGAAACCCCAAAACCTAAGTCCCAAAAGTTAAAATCCTAAGCGCTACCCTAAACCCAAAACTCTAAATCCCAAAAGTTAAAGTCCTAAGAGCCAACCAGAAGAACGCCGAGTCTCACGTTGCTCGGAGAGGGAGCCTGCGGCTGATCCGTCTCCCTTTTTGGGGTTCTTCTTAAGGGATTTCAGTTAAGTTACCATATAGAATAGCCACATTGCTAAGGGATTTCATTTAAGTTGCCATGATTTGAGTGACTTCTGGATTCTTCTTAAGGGATTAAGCTACGAAGCCCAAAACAGAAAAGCATGGGAGAAATACAGCCAGTATACTATCGTATGTGCTTGATCTTGGCACTGAAAAGCTGAGCAGAAGCTTCGGCAGTAGGAGTCGTTCGGTGTGTCAAACGACTTCTGCGGCTTCAGGGATGTGGTTCTTCGGCTATGAGTTCTTAGTATTGCGAAGTCTGTTTTCGTGCGGCTCCGTCTTCGACTCGCAAAGCGGATCCGGGAGGTGTCGCACGATATGCCATCGCCAAGACGACAAGTGAAGGAGATTACTCCAACGAGATTTCTTTGATGGTGTGCCTCTCTGCCGTCCAAAACCTCAAGCCACTCCTAAACCCTAAACCCTATCTGCCGTCCAAAACCTCAAGCCACTCCACAAGACGGTGCTTTCTGACGTCGACCACATGAGAAACCAGCAACCCGAATAGGCAGCTTCGCTTTAGGGTTTAGGATTTAGGCTTTAGGGGTTTTGGGGCTTAGGGTTTAGGGTTTAGGCTTGCGGCTTTAGGGTTTAAAGGGCTTAGGGCTTAGGGGTTTAGGGCTGCCTGATCAGGCACTGTCCACGGAGCTTCTGGAGTCCAGTTGGCATTTCAGGCTTGGGATTCAAGGGGTGGGTGCCTTTTTCCCCACCGAAGCCTCGACTGCTTCGGTAGTCGTCGTGGTGGCTGAGGCGGTGATGTCGTCGGCTACCTGACAGCTTCCCGAAGTCGACTGGTCTAGCCAAGCTGGAAGTGAGGAGTATGCTGCGGAGGCGGGCTCTCTTCAACTGTCCTCCCCAAAACAGTATGTGCACTAAGACTTGGGGGTTCGGACGTTCACGAGCTTACAGAAGAGCATGCGAAGGATTTTAAACATGCAAGTTATTGAACGACGCATTGAAAAAAGCAACATGTCAAACCACATGGAGGACTGAACATGTACACAGTAGACTGAGCGCTCGGGCGCTCTTATCCTAAGCCGCTGAAAGGACTGCCCTCCTCGCGCAGAATCTGCTCTCCATCGACTCTGAAAACCTGCGACACCCGCCGGGCGCAGCCCCAAACTGATCCACCGCCATCAGACCTGTGGCACGAGCCTTAAGCATCCATATCCTACGCAATGGAGAAGGGGATGTTCCTCAACGTGGGAGGCGGAAAGAATTCACAAAAGAAGCGCCCATGCTTCAAAGGGGAAAAGGAGGGACCCTTAATGGGGACCCCTCCCCTATAATGGGCTATATAATGGGTATATAGTGGCTTTTTTTTTAAGGGTGTATTGCCTAGGGGTCCTTATAAAGGGTCCCTCCTGTTGCCCTTGGAATGCTGGCTCGACCCCCAATCATGATCCATACTTTGACTGTACTCTCCCTGGCCTGCAGCATTGCCATGTTCCCCTGCATATGTGCCTGCCATGGCGTGGAAACAACGTGGAGTTGAGATTGGCAGGGATAGCCTTGCAGGAAGGTAAGGCATTGGTTTAAGACTTCTAAGTTTAGGCTTTGGAGACTCTGTGGGTTTTGCAGAGGCTTTTGACTCCCTGGGTAAGGGGGAACGCTTGAACCAGATCAACAACTCCCTTCTCGCTAGCTTCCGGCTTTTTGTTCCCGTGTCTCTTCCTTCGCTGATAGCACCGAATCATCACAAAAGGCCGCCAGAATTCGACTCTGCACCGTCAGCTCAACCCCCGGGAGGATCCCAAAAAAGCAAATCACCTATTCATTTGGGACCCTATACTACGACGGCGTTTGCAGGAACCCCTTAATCAATCCTCCCGAAACCCTAAACCCTAAATCCTAAACCCTAAGACCCTAAACCCTAAGCCCCTAAACCCCTAAACCCTAAGCCCCTAAACCTCTGAAACTTAAACCCAGGGGTCTGGGAAGACCAGCTCTTAGGATAGTAATCCGTATAGACCCCTGTAACAGGAACCCTTAAAGGAACCCTTTTCTACCCATTTAAAGGAACCCTAATCTCTTAGGATCCAACCCGCTTGCCGGCCGCCAGGGCCAGGGTGGCCAGCAAGACCAAGGCAGCCTCGTCAAGGGCTTAGGGTTTATGATTTAGGGTTTAGGATTTAGGTTTAAGGGTTTAAGGGTTTAGGGTTTAGTTTGTGCCTCCTGCATGGCTGAGTACACGAACCGTTAGGGTTTAGGGCTTGGGGTTTAGGGTTTAGCTACTATACCATGAAGGTTTGGGGGTTTAAGGCTTCGGGAGGCCTCGATGATTAGTCTAGGGTTTGGGGTTCTTGGCTGTAATATTCTATACGCCAAGACCCTATTCTAACGATGAAGGCCCTATCGTAGCGTGCTTTGGCTAAGAGCTCAGCGAGATGTCCTCCCAGAAAACCTGAAACCTGAGGCATAGGAGCCGCAACGAAAAGCTTGGAACTGTAGGGGCCTTGATGCTTCGAATAGGGTTTTGGGGCCACTATGCTATATTAACTATAAGGAACCACCAAAATAGTATAGGTACTTATTTGAGCCCCTGTATGATTCGGCATTTGACACAGAATCTCACCTTAAACAAACCCGGGAGCCTCAAGCACAAGATGTTCATCGGCTTTGTCGGTTTGTGTTGTTCAGCCCTTCCGCCTTGGGTTTTCCCGAGTGTGCAAAGAAGGGTCACAACCAACAGGGGCTAAGCTATCTAGGCTTGAACAGCTGGCCTGCTATCCCGACCATACCTTCGGGTGGGAATGCCAAGAGAACGAGGAAAAACTAGCAAGATCGATTCTTGAGAGCCTAAACTTAGTCGAACCCGTCCAAAGACGTGCCGGGCCGAATCAAGCAAACTGAGGGTCCCAGACTGCTTCTGAATGCAGGGTCCTGAATGGATCGGCAGTCTCAGCCCGCGGCCGGCATTTCGCTTGTAGACTTCGTGGTTGGCAAACAACTTTGCACTTGAAAGATGCTGCGGGGGCAAGCAGCAGTCGCTCCTCCAACAGAGTCTCCGAGGCTGAAGGTAATATAGGGGCCTTAATAATTAGAATAGGGTTTTGGGGCCCATTATGCTATACTTATAATAAAGAACCCCCCAAAACATTATTGGTATTTATTTAAGCCCCTGCAGTAGAGCTTCAAACGAGCTCGTTGCAAGGCCAACTGCCAACGTAAATCAACAACAGCGGGATTTAGGATTTATAGGGTTTGGGGTTTAGGGGATTTATCCTCTGCCGGCTTCTTCTCTAGCTCGCTGCTGGAAGGTGATGGAAGAGCTTGGGACGAAATGACATCAAAGCAGGGTACGAGCTTCTCTCTTGCACAGACGATGCTCCAAATAAATTTCCTTGATATATTCATGTAGAAACGCTCTCAGGTCCTCTTGAACATGACTTGAATATTTGATCAATTCCAAGTTGAATCGATCTGTGACACATCTCGGCAAGACCCCACCACCATCGAGATACTTTCGCTGGCCAAACCGATATCAGATGATATCAGGCAACTGTTGTTGCTTAGATGTCAAGAACTAATCGGGCATTTTTTGTCTTTGCATGGAACTTTGCCCACTCTGGCCCCCTAAGGCCTAAGCCAGCGCATCACTCGTGCGAGATGCTGTCAAGGTGTTGCTGTAATGCCTCGCAGACAGGATCGAACTTCAAGCCTACACTCTCTACACTTTAGGGTTTAAGGTTTAGCATTGTTTTTCTAGCTCCCAACGGGAAAGCCAAAGTCGGACTCGCCCCTGCCCCACCTCCCAAGTGCCTTTGCAAACAATGTGTGGGTTTTAGTGAATTCGATAGGGTGTGGGGGTCGACTGCATTTATCGTGTAACAAGGAACCCTAGGAGTAGTATCGCGGATGATTCTCTCAGGCTTCTATATTGGACTAATCATCGCGAAAGAAAGTGTTCAGTCCCCTGTGCAATCAACGTCTGCAAAACCTGGGAGTTTAGGGGGAATACAAGGGCCGTAATAGTTTACAGCTGGGGTGTACTATTCGATACTTGCTCAGGAAACCTTACAAATGCAACGGCTACTGTAATTTATTCAGGCCTGCAGTAGACAGATTGAGATCCTAAACCCCCAAAATCATCCAAACCTCAGCAACCCCAAATCCTAAAGGAACTCGCCCCTTTTTTATGGTTAGTCAAGAACTTCAACACCAAAAGGCCTGAAGCCCTAGACGCAAGAATCCTGAGTCCTACACCCTGAATCCCAAAGACACCCGAAGCCCAATCCTAGGTGTCGATTTCAACAGTCCCACAATGGTTTATACTTAGGGCTCTATATTGAAGAATAGGGGAACTCAACATTATCCCCAACCCATTTCTAGAATCCCACACGCGGGTTTTAGGGTTGGGGATTGTTTGCCGGGTTGCGTCGGCAGCGGTGGGCTGATGAGCTTCTCCGGAACTAGGCTGTCCTTGGAGAAACATAGCCAGCTAGGGTGCTTAGTGGAACATAAGGGCCTTAATAATACTATTTTGGGGTTTAGGGCTCAGGGATGCGAGCGCGTCAGTAAAGTCAAATCACGCAAACCCTAACATCTCAAGGAGGAATCTGCCATGGATCACTCTCCAACTGCACCAGGGACAGTCAAAATCCAGAACCCAGAGTGCCCTGCTAGAATAGTAACCTTCATATTGACCCTTTATGGACCCCTTACAAGAGTACAGGTCTTCAGTCGCCTTTGAGAACATACGGCTGATTTCAAGAAAGACATGAACACCGGCCACCTGGAGCTGGCTCTGTAAATTCGGGAACCCAAGGTCGCCAAGTAGTAGGGCACCCATGTAAAAGGAACCCATATCTAGAGAAGTACCCATGTGCATCTATGTACAAATGTCCACAGGCACATGATCGAGTCACTGAGTGGTAGGATCCTTATCACAAGGACAGGACCCTCAAAGAACGATGCAACCCCCTGTTGTTTGAGTAGACACCTGGTGGCATTCCGCACATTGCTGATCATCAATACCTAGGTGCCACTGCAAAGTCGACGTCCTCAGGATCCGCGGCTGAGCCATCCTTTCCAAAAAGTTCGAAGCTCATAAACTTCTTTTTGAACGAGGTCTCTCTGAAGTGCCCCCGAGACCCTACAGCCAGCACGGCACCGAGACTCGGGAGTAGGGCTTGAAGATGTCGGGGCCTTATTGTTTGGGATTTGGGATTAGTGCAAGGGTTCGGTTTAGCAGGGGTTTACCCCAAAGTCACCCTTTCTTCAAGCACCTGCTCTGCTCTGACATCAGGATCCCTCTTGTAATCCTTCTCCCGAGAAGGGATTGAGTGATCACGGGCGTACATTATGCCTTCATTTGCTTTTAAACTACTGTGTCGAGGGCAGCTTCCTATTTCGAGTTGGGTCGAGGGTGTCAACTTGAGAGCTGCGCCTCACACCCCCAAACACCAAAAGGCCCTCAAACCTCAAGACAGACTTAAACTGTAAACTAACGCCTACGCCTGCCAGGACTCTCAGGGTGGGTACCCGTAACACAAACCCTTTTGCATCCAGGCCTCTTCAAACTACCGAGTACACCTAAAACCTCGAACTCAAAGCCCTCACAAAATTCCTACTCAACCTCTGCAAGCAAATACTAATCCTTGAATGAAGCCCTTAATGGATGCTAAAGGTGCCATGAAAAACCCTTTAAGGAGCCCTAGAGAGCTATGACCCTAAACCCCTAAACCCCTTTTTCCTAAACCCCTAAACCAGGACAGCTATGGACCTGAGCCTCGACGACTTGGTGGGTGAAGTGCGTCAGCATGCGATTTGCATACGCCTTCGGCGGAATCGTTGCCTGTCAGAAAGGGTTGAGGGCTGTACACTGTACAAGTAGGAGTTGAATTTCGGGTCTTGAGCGTTTAAGGGTGGGAGGGGTCTAGAGGTGTAGGAGTTTAGAGTTGATGCAGGTCATTTAGGGTGAGAGGGGTGTAGTTAGGGTTAGATCACGGTTCCTTTTTGGGTATTCCAGGATCAATGTCCCTACCACGTTTCTTTTTCAGGCTTCTCGAAGTCCCTACAAGGGTTTCGTTTTGCGGGGTTCCTATTAGGGTTCCGTTATCAGGCTTCCTGCAAGGATGCCTGTAAGATTCGCTTGAACTGGGCTTTTGAGTAACCAGGGAGAAAAAAGTATAAACTTCTATTTCATAATGGTTCCTTTAAGAAAAAAGTATTAAAGTATGGTACTCCAAAGCCCAGTGAAAGCTTCCTTCAAGTGTCCCTACAAGGGTTCCTTTGATGGGAGTCACAGGATGGTGCCTAAGCGGAGCACCCAAAATCGCTTCCTCTTCGCATGCGGCGCCCTTTGCCATGAACCTACAAAGCCTTGGACCCAGAAGCCTGAAACGGAAAGACTGAAGGCTCGCAACGGCGAAATGTTTAAGGATGATATAGGGAACTACAGTTTGGGAATACCAAGGTCTACCATATAGTGTAGGCCCTAGAACGATCCCAGCTCGCAGTATCCTTGCGAATGGGCCCGCAAATAAGGCTACCCTTCATGTTCGAACCCCAAACAAAACACTGGCCTTGTTGCACTCGCAGACCTTGATGCACCTGGCTGGGATGGAAAGGAGGGCTAACAAAGGCCCAAGAGAAGGCCTTCAAATTCAAACCTACTTGCTGTAAATCCCAAACCCAAGGCGATGCCCTAAACTCCCTGAACCGCATGAGCCTAAAACCATCATAGGATATCATAGGGTCTCGGCGCTTAACTCTCTAGTAAAAGTACACACCGACCACGAGCCCATCTTCGGATATTGCTACTGGAGTCTTTGACAGTTGGGCAGTAAGTACAGCACAAGGTAGTCGGGGGGGCGGGGGTCCAGGAATAAAACCGTTAAAGCATTTCAGAACAGACGACTGTAAGTCCAGACACTGCTGCTTGTTGGAATCTAGGTTCTCGCATGAAGACTTGTTAATGGATTTCCTTGACTGCGCCATCCAACCATCACCCAAACACTACATGAACTGCCACATCTAAATTCTTCGTGGTTGCACCGGGTCCTGAAGATTAGGCTAGTATTATTATATCAGATTCTAGCATGCGATACGCAGATTAGGCTAATATTATTATATCAGATTCTAGTATGCCATAAAGCACTCGTTCCATTATGAAGTTATGAAGACCCCATAGCATGCTAGGGTTGCCTCGGGGCTGAGTGCCCTGGGCCTCGCCACGCGCTTGCCAGTGGTCCAGACTTGTAGAAAGTCGATCAAGGACATGTAGACCAGGAGGTCCTCCGAAGGCGGAGATGTTCAGGGGTTATACAGGGTTTAGGGTTTAGGGGTTTAGGGTTCAGGGTTTAGGGGTTTTACGGTTTTGAGTCTGGGAGATGTTATCCTTGAGCCGTCGAGTTGAGCAGAAGTTGTGAAACACAAAGGTAGAGGCCGTAACAACTAGCATAGGGTTTGTGGCCTATAATATAGTACGTATATAATAGCGTAGCTAGATCGTGAACGCTTGAGAACATAATATTACCCTTTCCTTCCACATGGTGGGTTGGAAAGTACCACTAGCAACTAATTGAACGCATTGATCGTAAGTATTCAGGCTTCCATATTGCTTCGCTGTAGCATCACCCAGGTCCTGCCAACTTGCTACTCGAACAACGCCTGATGGAAATCGCGCAAGTTTCGGCGGCGCAGCTGCCGCTCCCCACAAAACCCCAAAACCAGTCCAAGTAGAATGAGACCTTCAATCTCTAACCGGTAGCGGGACTGCAAAGCACACGGGATGCAGGGCCACTTTGGCTGCCGGAATCAAACCCGGCTTGACGACGCTTAACCTTAAAGGCTGAGTACCCTAGGCCAGAAAAGGCGAGCCTTTTCAATTATATACGGTAGGATTATATCCTATCAACCCCGGAAGGTTAAAGCTTACCTACTCGGCTACTAAGTAAGCTTGTCCTCGTGTAGCGAGCCCCATTTCCTTTCTTGACTCTCAAGTGGCGAGTTCTCGGGAGATAGGGGATCGTCATGGACACTGATGTCTAGGTTTAGGGTTTAGGGTTCCCTAAACCCTAAACCTCTAATCCATGACCCCCCCCGAAGCGGAAGAGGTGAACCCCAAAAAAGTAGGAGCATCGATCCCCTATAATGTCCAGTAACCTAGGAACAAAAAGGGCTCCCTTTTTGGTATTAGGTAACTTTTTAGGGAACCTAGGACTACAAAAAGGGAATAAGGGTACTACTGGGCATCCTAGTCCCCTGAACTTAAGCTGCTGGAGGAGCCTTCTCTATCTCTCTCTCTCTCTCTCGCTCTCTCTCTCTCTCTCTCTCTATGTTGTTTGTTCAGGTTTCAAGATTTGGAGTATTGGGTTTGGAGCCTAGAGCTTGGGGTTTGGGGTGGTGAGTTTAAGTTAAGGATTCGCAGTCCCAAAGAGTCCTAAGTACCTATACACATATGTATGTGCATATCTCTATATAAAATATATAGTAGAATGTGGGGGTTTCTATTGGGAATTACTATTATGTTTTGGGGAAGTATGCCCCATGACAGAACCTCGGGCCGATTGGTATTTGCACTGAAGCTCCCAAAGTACGAGGCCAGGCTTTAGAGCACGGCGGCATTCAGCGGTAGAAGAATAGAGTGCCGGGGTATCCCAAACCCTGTGTTAAGACATATGGGTGGTTGTCAAAAGTAGGGTCCCGTTTTGGGTCCTTCATATAATACGGCACCTAATATTTAGGTTACCCAAACAGGTACCATCATTTTGGCAACCACCCATATTATGGCAAGAATACCACATACCCAAGATTCCTTTCAGGATGGTTTTGAGGGTTTTGGGCTTGGGGACAATGCCAGACCTTCCAAAACCCCTCAATTAAGGAATATACCTTAAATCATATTAGGGATCTTACTATGAGTTAAGGTATATTCCTTAATTAAGGGATTTTGGAAGGTCTGGGGTTTTGGGCTCGGGGACAATGCCAACATGCCACGAGTCCTTGCCATTCGGGCCGGCACACCTGATGGCGGGCCGGCTCACTTGGGAGTTTCCGAAAATTAGGGGTAGGATCCCCATAATAAGGATCCTACTATTTCGGGCATTATATTCGGGTCCCCTAATTTTCGGAAACTCCCACTTGGCCTGCTTCCAAAACTCCAGGATCTCTGAATCGCCCCACCCCGCTGCCCCTTTCTCAAGGTCCGATCTCGGCTTAAGGGCTGTGCAGATGTAGGAGTTATGAGACAAAAAACCTTGGAGGGTCAGATAAGGAAGCTAGGGACCTCGTAGTTGAGGTGTCTGAGAGTGGGGTTTAGGGAATTAGGGTTTTAAGTAGAGTTCATGGTTAGGGCTAAGGGTATAGGTAGGAGTTCAGTTTCAGTTTGTTGAACCCTCTTTTCTCCCCGCCTAAGTTCGGTTGGTTGAATGCCACCGGTGGCTGAGGAGTTCAAGTTTAGGGTTTAGGGCTGAGTTTACGGGTTCAGGGTGCAGAAGCATCCCAGCTCCGGTGTTCCTTCTGTAAAGAGGTCGATGTTGTCGAAGCATAGAGCTTCTAAAGCTGGCATCATCACCATTTCCAGACTCAGGCGCTCGAAGAGGCAAAAGCCCGTTGCTGAAGGTCAAACTTAAGTTCAACTTAAATCTTATGATGAGAGTCGCATGCCCCCGCTATAATTGCCGCAATGCATCGGGTCTTATGTTGTGTTTGCAATTCCTGTTTGCACCAGGCTTAAACAACGCCATAGCTCTGGAGATGATCGTGCTTAGGATCAGGAAACATTTCTTTCCTGTTCTGTTTTGGCGGCTTTGATCCCGACATATCCCTCCAATGGGTACTTGAACCCTTGCCAAAGCCCCAATGTCTAAACCTCCAAAGCTTCATAGTATCTTACAAAGCCTCAATAAACTGAACAAGAGACAACATGAACACCCGCGACGCACCGTAAAACACTCAAAAACCACCCCGTGGCTTCCAACCGCACGCTCGGAATTTCCGAAATTGGGCTGAACAGTAGGATCCTTACAAGGACCCCAAAATAACAAGGTACCCCTACTTTTTGGAAACTCCCAAATAGCCTGTATAGCTTCAGCGCGGACGGGCCGGGAGACTCCTCTCCAGAGGGGATCTCCTGCAGTGCCCGCTTGGGGTTCCCAGAGACTCCAATATCCCTAAAGTAAGGAATATTCCTTAAATCATATAAAGGATCTTATTATAATTTAAGGTATATTCCTTAATTAAGGGATACCTCCTACCTAGCAAGGACGAAGCCCGCATTGCAGGGTGTCTCGGTTGAACGTTTGACTACAGCCATGTTTCGATATTCAAAGCACGGCTAATTGGCAGACAGGGCTTGGGGTTTAGGGTTTCGGCGCTCACACTCGGACGATCCAGGCGAGACATGTGGTTTAGGGTTTGGGGCTTCGGATTCGAAGCTTCGGAGGTAGAATTCAGGGTTTGGGGTGTTGGGATTCATGTTTTGCCTCCTGCGTTGTCTAATGCTTGACTGGGGAGCTGAATTTACCAGTCTGGGTTTCATGTTTAGACCTGACATTTTAGGTTTAGGGTTGCGACACGTGCGCTCAAATGTTTTCGACAAGGTCGGTAGCGAAAGTAGCGTCATGTCAAAAGACCAGGCGTATGTCCACCTGCCACATGGACTACCAGACCATACAGAGGCCCTGCACCGTAAATGTTAAACCGGAACCCTAGGTCCCAAACTAGACGCGACAACGAGAAGTAGCCACGATAGTATCTTACTCACATAACAATAATCGTCTGAGGACAAACAAAGCTTGATGACCTTTCGTTGATTCTCGTTGCCATCTTTACTTATTATACTTGAGAAAGGCTCTCGGGGCTTAGGAACAATTAACGCTATAATTACAAAGCCTTGCGCCTGGTGCCGAACGAGATTTGTGATGGTGCGTCCAAGTCGGATTTCAAAGTCTGCGTTAGGGGTTCTCCCTAAAAAATAACGTCCTCTCATTGAAATCTTGTAGACTAGTGTTGTTAACATAATTCTCTCAAGGTTCCTGCAAACAATTGCATCCCAAACCTTCGCCCCTAGTCTCAATCTTTCCGCCCCTACCTATAGTCTCCATTGTAGCTCCTTTTTTGGTTAACCGGTTTTATGGTTAGGATCCTAGAATAGAGATTTTGGTTAACCAAAAAATGGAACTACAATGGAGACTATAGGTACATCGATTGAATCAGTGAACTGGAATGTTGGGGCCTCCTCCTGCAGCCAATGCCTTGAAGCATCTTCGTCTTGCCATCAACTGAAACTGGGTTGTGCTTTAAAACCATTGAAAATTATTTATGAATAGGTTCCCTTCATAAGGAAATACGGGAAACTACAAATTATCCCAAAGCACAACCCAGTAAACCTTAAACCCAAAGCCCCAAATCTATGACGAACACCCACCCCCCCCTTCCGTCTCCCTGTTAGCCAATGGCCTTCGTCGCGATCAGCAAACTGTAGTCCATCAGGTTGTGCCCTTCGACAACAGACCGAAATGGCCGAATTGTGTCTACCATGTTTGGACAGAGTCTGCGATTTGTTGTGATTGATACCCTAGGCCCTAAACCCTTACGTCACGCTACCGTTTGCCACTGGTGCTACGGTTGCACCTGAACAACTTAGTAGCGAAGGGCTTTTCTTCAGCTTTGGGGTGTAGTTGTTGTTCCCGAAAACCCCTCTGGGGTTGGGTTCTCGTTTAGTGCTCCAACGCGAGGTGCGCGATATCGGGCCCTGTTTTGACGGAAGAGCTTTAGAAGACTAAGCGCGGTGCACGGGCCTTGATGTCGGGTGCGCGGATCGGGTGCGCGGACGGTACGCGCTGGAGGGCCGGGAGGGCGGGGACAAGGCGCGGACGGTGTGTGGGGAGGGCAAGACTTAACGACTGCGTGCGGGGAGGGCAAAACTTGACGGATGCGCGGGGAAGGGGGAAGCGCGATGATGTCGACTGCGCGGACGGTGCGCGCGGGACGGCCGGAGCTTGGGGGAAGCGCGATATCGGGTGCGCGGACGGTGCGCGCGGGAGGGCCGGAGCTTGGGGGAAGCGCGATATCGGGTGCGCGGACGGTGCGCGCGAGAGGGCCGGAGCTTGGGGGAAGCGCGATATCGGGTGCGCGGACGGTGCGCGCGGGACGGCCGGAGCTTGGGGGAAGCGCGATATCGGGTGCGCGGATGGTGCGCGGGGGAGGGCCGGAGCTTGGAGGAAGCGCGATATCGGGTGCGCGGACGGTGCGCGCGGGAGGGCCGAAGCTTGGGGGAAGCGCGATATCGGGTGCGCGGGTGGTGCGCGCGGGACGGCCGGAGCTTGGGGGAAGCGCGATATCGGGTGCGCAGGCGGTGCGCGGGCGAGGGCCGGAGCTTGGGGGAAGCGCGATATCGGGTGCGCGGACGGTGCGCGCGCGGGACGGCCGGAGCTTGGGGGAAGCGCGATATCGGGTGCGCGGGCGGTGCGCGGGCGGTGGGCGAGGGACGGCCGGAGCTTGGGGGAAGCGCGATATCGGGTGCGCTGGCGGTGCGTGCGGGACGGCCGGAGCTTGGGGGAAGCGCGATATCGGGTGCGCGGGCGTGCGGGACGTGAGAAAAAGACGTGCGGACTTCCATTCTGGCAGTCTTTTTTTCGCCTGGGTTTTCGGGTTCCCGGCTTGACCTTGTTCCTTTTGCATCCTGCACTGCTGAGCAAATGACTCTACAAGGAGGTGGGGGTGGGGGGAGGGCCGTTTGGAGTTTACGGTTTTGGAAGGGTTCAAAGCGCTTGGTCTTAGTTGAGGAAATCGTTTGACATGGAGATCGACGTCACTGCTCTTGTTTACTTGCTTTGCTTTAACTGACAAATCATCAGCTTACGGACGGGCTTGCTCCTTCAGGACCTTCACAGCCGTTGAGCTCCCACTGTTCCCAAGGTCCCAAGCAGAAAGGTACACAAGAAAAGCCTCCCAGCCAACTCTATACTCCCCTTTAGAACCATAATAGAAAAACTGATTTTTAATATTCTCTTGGGCTTTACCAATGTTTTCCATGAGCAGAAATACAAACAAAAAGCAGTCCTACGGAGACCTGCCAGAACCTGAAGAGCCTTAGGGTTTAGGGTTTAGGGTTTAGGGTTTAGGTATGTAATTGTCGAGCCGTCCCCCTAGCAAGTCAAGCCACCGAGCCTCCAGATGTGAATTTCCGAAAATTAGGAGTACCTTATTTTGGGTCCCTTCCAATAGGGATCCTCATTACAATTTAGGGTGCTATTGTATTCGGGTCCCCTATTTTCGGAAAAAACTCCCGGATGTGATTCTGAACAGGATGTCTTGCCCCGGCTCTCTACTGGAACCTGGCCCGATATGCAGAGACTAAGTATGGCTGCTCGAGACCGCGGCTCCCAGGCCTTAGTAACTAGGGACATAAACAAACTAACTATACGTAGAACCCCAATTAGGGTACTTATGACCTTACTTACTGAGCCCCATGATATACAACCCTCCACACTCAAAGCAGAGCCCCTGCCTGCCAGAAAGTCGGTATCCCGCTTCAGCCTGATGCTGTCGGGCTCCCACTGCAGGCTTCCGGGATGCACCCGGGGGCTCCGGCTTTAGAAATCTTTGGGTCCCCGAATCCTATAGGAAACTCCAGAAAGTTGGAATATGGTTTCATGGTAGGATACCCGATAATTTACCATAGAAGGGTTAGGAGAATCATATTCCAACTTTCTGGCTTTTACCTTAAGCCGAAACTAAACCTTGTTGGATGTGGTCTTTTGGAGAAAAGGGGCCCCTGTGGTGGGGATTGCTTTTCGGCCCAGCGTTCTCGGTTACACGACGAAGCGGCACATGCATAGGTGTTCGTCATTGGAGTTCAAGTTGTGGAGGAGCCCGCCAAGGAAAACCGATGCTACCTCCTTCACATTCTTGGGGGCTGAATACCCTAGCCCAGAAAAGGCTAACCTTCTCAATCATGGTAGGATTATATAAACCCCAAAAGGTTAAAAGTAGGCATGCAGAAAGACGTGGCATGCCGGGGCCCCAAACGCCTGACCCTGTGTTCCGACCCCCCCAAAAACCAATGCTACTGGTATCAACTTCTGCGAAGTTCCGCTGCCTTAAATGGGTTTGGGGTTTAGGGGTTTAGGGTTTAAAAGTTTACGCTATAGACAGGGGTAGTAGGCTTTCAAACTCAGACAAGGCTGAGAATCCAACAGGATCCAATTAGCAGCCTAAGCTGTGTCCAAAATTTCCCAAGCGTGCATGTAGTCGAGCTACTGAGAGCGCACATCCTCGTCCCGTTGAATGCGATAATTCCGCCCCAGACTCAAACAACTTGTGAGTGCAGCCTGAGATGTATATGACTTACAAAGCCCTCAATTACCTGTTCTCTGGGTACTCTCTAACTTTGTCGGTTCAGGGTTGTGCAGTTGTACAGACTCGCAGCTCAACGTCTGAGGGCCTCGAGCCCGGAAAAGCTGAGTGTTAGGGGCCTTAGTACTTCGAACCGGGATTTGGGGTATACTGTACTATAAATACAATAAGGAACCCCAAAACAGTATGGGTAATTAACTATTATAAGGCCCTGTATCCTAACGCCAGAACCTGTGGGTACGTGCGCACAATCTGCAGCCTCAAAGCTGCGCGCCCTTGGGAATAATTAGGTGAACACTAGCTCGGGCGATTGCACTCGCACTTTAAGTGTCCGGCCCAAAGACCTAATTTTTTTTGGTATGCGGGCTAAGTCCGAATCGATGTGCAGGGAGCTGTGGGCAGAATGCCCCTAAACTCAAAACCTGCCTATAGTCTCCATTGTAGTTCCTCATTTTGGTTAACCAAAAATCTCTATTATAGGGTCCTAACCATAAAGCTGGTTACCCATAAAAAGGAACTACAATGGAGACTACTATAGGTGTCATCCCTCAACCATCACCCTCGAATCCGACCCCAATGCTTCGTAGCAGCAAGCTGATGAAGGAAGATCGCTGCTGCGGTTGAAGCTCCTCTGCAGGCTGCAAACTCTCAGTCTTTCAAAAAGGGATGGTTCAGGTTCGTGTGAAGGGGCTTTTAGGGATTGGGGAAGAGTAAGTAAAACAATGGCCGAACAACACCTTTACAAGGCAATCTTACATACTTTTGGGGTCCAGGTAAGGCCTCGACCTGAGTGCTTCACCAACTTGCTGCGCGCACGGGGTAGTTCTCTAAATAGGGTCCCCATGAGGGTGCTGTATTCTTTGACAAAGAAGCCTTGAAGGGAACCAAGGGCCCCCTTTGACCTTTGGATCCGAACCCCGGAGTCCAAGCCAGGATTGAGGCAAAGTATGGAGAAGTCTGGAAATTCAGAGCTTTTTGGGTCTGTACTTGACTCCCTGCCAGTCACAAGGCCATAACCAATCTTACGTTCAGAACATACAGTACAATGTCAACTAACTCATGAAAATATCTAGGGGCTACAAAAACTCGCGTATTGAAGGCAATCAAGGGAATGGGAGTTTGCGAACAAAAGCGCACAAGAGAATAGTGCGATCCCCAATGCAATGATGCATGAGTCCCAAGAAAGGACCCATACTTCGAAAGCCTGTCGCAGCTTCACAGCGATTGAAGGCACACAGTACGGCATCCTGCTGGGGCCGCTGCCACCTGAATTCTTCGAGCTTCCACTTTCCCGGCATGGTAGCCTCGTTCAGCGTATACCCTGCCCAAATCCCCAAATAGCAAGTAACAAATGGCCCCGTACCTATGAAACGCTATTGTTCTACTACATGTTTTGGGGTCCAGGTGAACCCTAAACCCTAAGAGCTCACGTATGGAATGACATTAGGGGTTTCCTGAGCTTATGCACAGCTGATGCTTCGCGTCCACGGGAAGGAAGGCTAGCGACGTTTTCAACTTCCGGCGCTTGGGGCTCTAGGTTTAAGGCTTAGGGTACCAAGCTCAACTCATCGTCTAATCCAGCCCTCCCCTAAAGCACAAAAGCCGCAAACCCGCTCGAACCCTCTCCGGCTTCCCGTGCCCTGGAAACTTTTGGTGTCGCCGGCTTAAAGGCTCCAGGCTGAAGATTCTTAGACGTCGTTTGCTTCTTGAGGATGGCATTGGGCGGGGGCGCCTACACGAGTTAAGAATGGCTGTGGGTCAAAGGAAGTCGTGTTTTGCCTGAACTTTGGACCCTCGCAGTGACGGATTAAGCTTGGGGACCCCTAAACCCTAAACCCAGTTGGGGATAGGGATGTTATGCTAGCGCAGGTTAAGGCTACGGGTGCTCGCCGTCCGGCGCGGCTCCGAGATGCTCCGAGAGAAGCTTGGTTGTAGAAATACAAAAGAAAATGTGAGTTTCCTAACATAGCACTAAAAAGTCGGATCCTGATTATAAGAACACCAAAATAAGGTACCCGTAATTTTTCGGAAACTCCCAGATGGCATTTTGCACGGACGCAAGCAGCCGACCCCTGGACCACTGCTGCTATGCTATGGGCCATGGGAGTTTCTGAAAATACGGGGTACCTTAGTTTAGGTCCTTGCAATAAGGATCCTACTATTTAAGGTTAGCTATCTATATATATATATATATAGATATATATATGTATATAGATATATATATATATATATATGTATATGTATGGGTCCCCCTATTTTCGGAAACTCCTCTATGACCATGAACTGTTTATTGGGCCAAGCAACGCTTACGCTCATCCGTCCAATTCACCTGGCCTGAGCTTCCGGCACTGGGTTTAAGGTATTTCCTGGGGTATGCGGGCATTGCCAGCAGCTTCGTGGAGAAAGAACTCGCACAACTTTCGAAGGACTTGGATCCTTGCCACACCACATGCCGACCTTCCATATCCTGAGTCTCTTTCATCACGCTGAAGGTACACGGCTGCCTAATGTGAAAACGGTCCTTCAATCAAACTTCGACATGAGACAGAGGCATAAGTAATTATACAATTGCGTGCCACGAAATAGTATTTGTAAATGGTGCTGCCATGGGTCATTGCCTCTGTGGTTAAGGTCTGAGCTGGAGAAATCGTAGTGAGTGCGACGGCTACGGGCCGACTCAACCCGACCACAACGACGACGTCATGCCTATTCAGAACCCGCGTAGGGTGGTACCGGAACTACAAAACACATCTATAGCGTTCTATAGCCTATAGTAATCCGTCCGCCAAAACACAAAGCACCATTTTCGAGGGCAATCATGAATACCTGGACCCCAGAAGTGCGTAGAAGTACTGCAAAGGCCTCTTTTCGGTGTTGGGCCGTTATTGTGCCAACTTTGGGGGTTTTAAGTGAAGACCAGGTTCCGTTTGTGCACGGCTTTGATGCGCTCACCTCAGGACAAATGCAAGTGTTGTGGGGACATATGGGTGCAGCAAGTTCAACCCGACACTGCCTGCGCATTCCTGAAACTATGTGCAGCCATACAGCCTTCTTTCTCGATGAGCTTGTCGTCTGCGCAACCCTTGAGGTCATAGCACGCCTGCAAGCGTTCTAGAAGCTTCCCAGGGGCAGTGGCAGGAAAAGCGACGACTACCGATGCAGCACCAACAAATACGACGATACTGCATATGATTGTAGTGTGTAGTAATGGCAGCCCATCAGACTGACAATGGCAGCTGTCATAATATGCGATCGTGCTGCTACGGCACCGGGAATGAAAGAGACAATTGCGACAAAGCACAACAAACAGCAACAACCACACCGGTTTCGCCACCACCAGCACCGAAAAGACATCATGACCTCTCATGACCAAACAGCCAAATTGTAAGAACATCGGTAAAAAAAACAAACTTTACTCAACAAGGGTGGCAATATTATACAAGTAACAAAAACGCCAGCAACGGCAGCAGCAACAGCAAAAGTACAAGCAAACGAGAAAATCAATGCCTGAACACGACCACAACACAAACAATGCAAACTATGACACGAAAATCGCGACAATAATAGAAAACACAACGCGACATGTACACGTAAAAGCATAAATACCACAAGCTCACCAACACCACCACCACTACCGCCACCACCACCACCACCACCAACAACAACAACAGCAACAACACAACTACAAAAAGCAACAACAGCAACAGCAATAACAGCAACAGTAACAGCAACAGCAGCAAGCAACACTCACACACTGGAAGCGGTGAAACTGCAGCCGCAGCCACAGCAATAACAGCACACAAAATAGGGGCAAACACGCCGCAACAGCAACAACAGCAATAACATAAACTGCAACAACAAAGCAGCCTAAAGCAGCAATGCCACGATGAGCAACATCAACAACAACGAAGAAAACAAACCACCAAGGAACACAAACAATCTCAACGGCAACATCAGGAACATCGGCAACAACAACAACCATCGTCGCCAATTGTGTCCCGCTTGTCCATCGACAGGTGGCGCAAACATTCATGATGCCTGACTGTGACGATGACCCTTGGTGGCCCCTTACCGCAAATCCGCTGTTGCGCCTTAAACGGGCTCTTGCCGATGCTGTTGCGCATGGCGAAGAGGTACCTATCCGATGCCATATCTCCTGAGACAATATGCACAAGCATGCATCCAAAAAGGGCAGTGGCTTGCCAAACAAATACTTGCTGCTTGCAGCCGGGGTGCTGAAATGCAAATATATTGGCGAAAGCCTTGCGCGGACCACCGTCCGTTGGCAAACTGATGCATGGACCCCGGCATTTGGGCTCCGGCAAAGTGTCGCCTGTCCGTACGTGATCGCCTCAATGCTTTGCATCTGTTTTGGCCACAGCGCTGGCATCTCTACAGCAGCAACGTCCAAACATTTACTTCTGGTTAATAAGGAATGGAAGCATGGCAGTGAGAGTAGTTATAATTGTACAACATTCCTCCATTCCCTACGAACCAGACGTAAGAACAACATCAACCCTTGAACCCAAGCCCCAAAGGCCGGAACACGGAACACGCACGTTACCAAGGCCCCGGCCATAGGACGGAGCCAAACTCAGCAACGACTTGTGGTCGCCCACGCTAAGTTCCTGCCGGTCACTAACAAGCTCTCATTGGTTAAAAGCCATTGTGTATAAAGTCTGTTGTGACGCGTGCCTTGTGTTTATAAGCCAGGTCGCACTTTCCCAAGTCTAAATTGCTCCGCCAGCAACAGCCGGGTCCGGCAAAGGCTGGGAGCCCTTGCAGAAACGCGCGTCCAGGTCTGTCATCGGACACCCGGCGTCCTTGACGATAAATTTGTCTTCGACAAATGCCATCATGCTCCCGCCTTTTCCGCCTGCGAAGCACATCCGCACATGGATTTCGGGAGTCGTGCCGCACTAGCCTTCACTAGCATGCACGAAATGACAA